TGGTGAGACATGCAATGCTTTATGGAACAAATTGTTCACCATCAAAGGAAAAGCATAAAATTTAGTTAGGTGTTATAGAGATGAGGATACCCAAGTGGATGAGTTACTTTACACTTGGTGAAAGAATGTGAAACGAGTTTATATGTGAAAGGTTAGAGTACTTCCAGTGGTAGATAAGATTAGATGGATTCACCTTAGATGGCCTGGCCATATAAAATGTCGGCCTTTTGATGACCATATTAGGAGAGTATATATATGTATTTTGTTTGACCTATGTTAAGAAAGGTATGTGTACACCAAAAAAGACTTGTTTAAAAAGTATTAGAAATGACTTATTTTATTAAATTTAAATGAGAATTTCACTCTTAATAGTATACAATTGAGAAAAATGATTCATGTGGTTGACCCCTTGTAGTAATATATATGTTTTTGAGGTTGTTATTATTATAGGCTGGTTTTGCTTAAAATTAATGGGCATGCTTGTTGCAAGTAAGATTTTTAACTAAGGTATAACTTATTAATTTTAATAAATATGGATTTAATAAATTTTATGAGGGTTAAATTCTTAAAATAATTTGCTAGGATAGCCCTAAATTTAATTAAATTAAGGTAAACTACTTGACTATTTAGAATTCAAAGCTTTTATGAGGATTGTGAGATCTTCTTGTATCTATTTAAATTATATTAATTCTAATTAGATAAACTAAAATATAATTAGCTTAAAATAACACCTTAATTAATTATTAATCAGTAATTTATTAAGCTAATTAAACCCAATAGCTTCAATTTAATCACTTTAAAAAAATTACTAATTTTCTAAAATTAATAACTTTATAATTATCTAATATGAATTATTAAAGCATATTGAAGTTTTATTAAATTCTTAAAATAATTTGCTACGCCTATTTGGATTTCCCTTCCTAATCTCCATTTACATTTCTTTAATCCTCGAATTTTGCATGTGCTTAGTTCAATTTTTAGATAGGCCACTTCAGATCGATCAATCCACCACTTTTAAGTCCCATCCTGCTATGACTAGGGTTTTAGTTGAGATTTATATCATTAAAAAATCATGCAAAAGAAATCTGTTTTGGTTCTTAATCGTTTGGTTATTTACAAAAAGTTGAGTTTAAAAATTTTCCATATTTTTGTACTCACTATAAAGTCCATGGCCATGTCATGAGTGATTCCTTCATCTTGCATCCTGGTTTAAAAAAACCTTCACCTCCATCTGTTGTGGATGTTGGTTCTACCCCGTGAGAATAAGTGCATGTTGTTAATGATAATGTTTTGATTGTTTGGATCTAGTGGAGATAATATCCAATGAGGAGAAGGGCAAAGAATTTTTTTTTGGATTTGGTGCAACCTCATAATATGGAAGAGGCGATGGGTTAAAAAGATTAATCTAATTTGGACGTGCCAAATCATGAAAATGATGGTAATATTGGTAAGCATTCGAATAATCTTGTTCTTTATGTTTCGGTTAATTATATGATACAAAATTTTGACAATTATAATCCTTAAGCTCCAATAAATCTTTCAATTCTTAATGTTAATAAGGAAATTAAAAATGAAGGTGGATTGTTGGAGTCTGGGGCTTTGATAAATGATGATTGTAAAGAAGGGGAGATTCTTCCTAAATCAAATATAGGGCATAATGCTATGGACCATAAAAGTGTTTGTGTTAATGTTGTGTCTTCTTCTTCTTCCCATAAGGATAGTGACTCTAAATTAAATAATAATGATGGTTTTTCTAAGATGGGTAAAAGGACAGGTAAAAATATTGAAGTTCCATTATCCTCTACTCCTCGTTCTACTAGAGCTCAAACTTCTTTAAAAGATGTTAATGGCTAAGGCTCTTATATGGAATGTGAGAGGTGATGGAGGGATGGATTCCGAAGTTAAAGTGAGGAACTTATGCAGAGTGCATAATATTCATATGCTGGTGTTAATTGAGCCTTTTATTTCACTTGATAAGTTAGATAATACTGCTTCTCGTTTGGGTTTTTCTATGAATTTTGCTAATTGCTCTAAAAAAATGGATTATGTGGAATTCTTTTGTGACTTTAATATTTTTTTTTAAATTTTTTTGCATGTCCTCCATTTTCAATTTATTTTCTTTAACATCAAGTGTAATGCCTTTTTAGTGTATGCTGCTTGCTCTAGGTTGCGTCGCATACCTCTTTGGGAGAAATTATTGGATTTCTATCTTATTTCTAATGCTCCTTCGCTTGTTGGTGGTGATTTTAATACTATATCTAATGCTTCTGAGAGAATTGGGGGCAACCCTCCCAATCAAAATGCTATGGAGGATTTTAATTCAATGATTTTTATTGTAACTTGCATGACATTAATTTTTATTGTGGTGCTTTACTTGGAATAGAGCCACTATATGGCAGAAACTTGATTGGATCCTTTTAATTCCAACTGGATTTCTGATTTTTCAATGACTCATGTGGAACATTTAAGTATAACCAATTCTAATCATTGTTCTTTTTACTACAGGAAAATCAACCAATACCAGTGGATTTTTCGACAAAATAGGGTGAACTTTAAGAAATAATGAGGTTTTTAGGCAGATTTTTTTAAGCCTGTATATACTGCATAGGAAATTAAAATCAACAGTTTATTTCCAACATCATTTATTTAATTTTGGTAGTTTTTTGATGGTCATAGACATTGGAAATTAAAAAAAAAATTGTTGAAGTAATGAAGTCGCTTGGCTGCCTTCCTTCTCGGGCTGCCTCCCGTACTGCCCACTGCCCTCCCATGCTACCTGGATCAGCTACCAATAGTTGCCTGACCGCCTACTCGCCTGCCGTGAGATCAAACTAAGTCTAAAAAAAAAACTTCAAAGACTCAACTATTTTGCTGGGAGGGCAAATATGTTAAAATTATCACCCTTTTTATTTAAAATATAATTATTAAAATAATTATAAAAGCCATCAAAATCAAAAATGTCAGAAGTGTCGAAAAAATCTACCATAAATATAGTCGAAGAAAATTCATCATAATACGTTAGAAAACTGCCAAAAAACTGCTAAAAAATAGTCCACCGGAAAGTCGTTGGAAAAATTCATCGATAACTGACAATTTTCCTATATTGTTTGAGTATTAAGGCAGGTAGTTCCTTTGTTCCTTCTTCTTTTAGATTTTAAAATATTTGGATTTTAGATTAGGATTTTATGCATATGGTTCATATTAATTGGAATGCTCCTATTTGTTCTGATAATAACATTAAGGGTATGTTCAGATTATGGTCTAAGTTGAGTAGGCTTAAGTAGAAACTGAGATGGTGAAATAAGTGTTTTTTTCAAAAATATTTTACCAATTTCAAAGAGGCTAAAAATAAAGTTATTGAGATGGATAAGATTTAATTGAATGGCCCTAATAATAATAATCTTATTATCCTCAATAAAGATAAAGTGAGGTTCATTTTTAATTACAGGAACAGGATGAAACTTTTTGGAGGCAGAAAGCTGCCTCCAAGCTTATCCTTGAAGGTGATAGGAACACCAAGTTTTTTCACGCTATGAATAATAATAAAAGTGTTATGAATCATATTCAAAAAATTGCTAATACTCATAGGAGTTTTTATTAGTCTAATCATTTAATTTATAATTATGGTATCAGCACTTTAAGAATATTTTTAATAACAATGTGACTACTTTCCCTATACCTTATCCCTTAATTATTTCTCATATTATTAGTGAGATTGAGCACCAATTACTTAGTCAATCTCCTTTCGAGATTGAGATTTGGAATGCTATTAAAGATATGAATGGTGACTCTGCTGTTGGTCCTGATGGTTTTACCACTAAATTTTTTTTAGAATGCTTGGGAGGATGTTAATTAAGCTGCATGTGTTGGAGGCTGTGCAAGATTTCTTTGATGAGAATCCTTGTTCTAAGTTTTTTTCTTCTGCTAACACTGTTTTAATTCCTAAAAAGAATGCTTTTAATCATTGGAATGATTTTAGACCGATCAGCCTGTGTTCTTTTCTTAATAAGTTAAACTCTAAAATCATTATGGGGAGATTGGTGGATATCCTTTCTAGAATTCTTTTGTCACACAAATCGATTTTGTGAAAGGGCGTGGTATCTTTGACGATGTTATTCTAGCTCAAGAAATTATGCATGATATTAATACTAAAGTGAAGGGGACAATATTATTTTAAAACTTGATATCATCAAAGCTTATGATAATCTTAATTAGAAGATTTTATATGATGTTTTGTCTTTATTTGGTTTTAGTTTTTCTTTCATTGTTCTTATCAATAATATCATTGAAAAATATTATTTATCTGTTATCATTAATGGGAGGAATCATGATTTTTTTAAATCCGCTCAAGGCCTCAAACAAGGTGGTCATATCTCTCATGCTCTTTTTATTATACCTGTTGAATATTTATCTAGGGTCTTGGACAATCTTTATAAAAGGTATACTAAAAGCCTTTATCGTATTGTTGGAGGCATCTTTATAACTCTCTCAATTTTGCTGATGATTTTGTTATATTCTTGAATGGATCTCTTAATAAAATTAAGATTCTTCTTATATTTCATTCTAATTTCCAAAATATCAGTGGTTTGTCTATTAACAAAGATAAGAGTGGTTTTATTGTTTCCAATTCTATTAATCATTTTAGAATTAATGCTATTCTAAGGATATGTGGTTTTAATTCCAAATATAAGCCTATTAAATATTTGGAGACCCCTCAATTTAAAGGCAGGAAAAGGTTTCACTTATTTGTAGATATTTATACCACTATTCAAATGAAGATTTATGCTTGGTCATCTAATTTCCTTTTATTTGGTGGTAGGCTTGTTTTTATTAGAAGTGTGTTGAACTCGCTTCCAATTTTTAACAAGTTCTTTTGGGGTTCTAAAAATAATAGTTCTTGCAAATTTTGGGCTTCGTGGAAAACTATTTGTGGTGTCTTTGATGAAGGGGGATTGGGTTTAAAAAATATGGTGGATTTAGCACATGCTTTCTCTCATAAGTTGTGGTTTTCTTTCAGATCTAATAACAGCTTGTGTGCTAATTTTATAATACATAAAGATTGCAATAATCTTCACCCTTTTTTTGCAGGTATAAGGGCACATATTCTTTGGTGTGGAAAATACTTTGCCACATCAAATGAAAGGATGAATAATATATTCAATGGGGCATCGACCAAAGGGAGGTGTCCTTTTGGCAAGATAATCAGATTGGTCCTTACTCTATAGATAGATTTCTTAATACTCACACTCTTAATAATATTAAGGTTAATAGTTTTATTGAGAATGGTAACTGGAATGTTAACAAATTATTAGATGTTATTCCTTCTACTTTAGTTGATAATATCATGATGATACCTTTACAAATTCATTGCAAGGACCAGATCTTGTTCAATTTAGCTTCCTCGAGTAAGTTTTTTTTTTTTTTTTTTTTAAGAGTGTGTGAAATTATTTTAGAGTTACTCTATGATAAATCTCAGGTTTTTTTTGCCTATTTGGAACAAGATCATTCCTCTATCTTATTTCATTCTTGTTTGGAGGTGTCTCCATGATTTATTACCTATTAATAAAAAAAAAAGGTTTAATTTGCCTTCGAAATGTCAATGTTATTCTAATATTGAAACTATCAATCATGTGTTTGTTAATGGGGGTATTGCCCAAAAAGTTTGGAGTTATTTTTTAAATTTGGCTAACAAGGGTGAGTTCAATAGCAATAATAATATGGTGTACGTCTATTTTACAGTGTTGGCTTAATCATTCTAAATATCATATTTCCAACTTAATGTCTATCCTTATTATGTGGTTCCTTTGGATGGCTAGAAATGATTCCAAGCATAAAGACATTAAAATGGAGTTTACTTGCATCATTTCCAAAGTGGAAGATAAAATTTTACAATTATATTTTATGAAGCTCATTATGGAAAAGAATTTATATAATTGTAATGCTTTAGCCTTAGACTTGGGTATCTCCAATTCTACTTGGGATAGGGCCATGTGTGATAGAATTTTGATGTGGATTAAGCCTTTACCTCCTTTTTTGCAAAATGAACACTGATGGCTTTCTTAATTCTTGTTCGGATGGTGTTGGTGGGATTATTTATAATGAGTTGGATAAAGTGATTTTTGCCTTTGCTAGTCCTTTAAATTACTATAATGCTATTACCGCTGAGCTTATGGCATTATCTTATGGGCTTAATACATGACATAGATTTGTAATGTGAATGTTCGGGTGGAGGTGGATGCTTTGATTTTAATTCACATCCTTATTGACGTGGTTATTGGTAGTCCTCAGAATTTTTATCTTAGTAGAAAGGTTAAACAGTCCTTTTGAAATATGAATTATTATGTTTCTCATATTCATCTGGAAACTAATGCTTGTGCGGATTGGTTGGCTAAATTTGGGTGTCAACTTGATGCCTTTCAGGATTTCAATGATAGGAACCTGCCTCGCCTGCTCAAAGGTTTGGTTGATTTGAACAAGTCTCGACTGCCTTATATTCAGATTGCTTGAAGGTTTTTGTGTCTTGGCCATGTTGTTTTTCCTTGGCGTTGTTGACTTACCGAGGGGGTTATATCTAGTTGTTTTTGTGTCATTCACTTAAAGTTGTTGGTTATTCAATTTGGTTTCTTCAATCTGGGATGCCTCTTGTTCGTTCCTTATAGTAGTGTGTTATCTCAGTTTTTAACTAAGGTGGTTTATGTTATCCCCTTCTTGGTTCAATGTTGCTTGGTTTGCCACGGCATGGATGTTTTGTTGGTCCTCTTATGTGTTATTATAAATATATTCAATTATTTGCATGGATTTATTTGGTTTTCTTGGCTAGTCTGGGGCAAGGTCCAAGAAGTTATTGCCCGTTTCATTTTTGGTTTGCTGGGCCGTGTTGGTTATTTATCTGTTTGGGGGACAATGTTGTTGCAGGTTCTGCTGTATGTGTTATTAGGTGGTTATCTTGCTTTGCTGGACACACTTTGATCTTTTTAGCTTGTTCCATGTTGTTCGAAATTTAAATTTAACCATCCTTGGCTTTCCTTGGGGAGTTCTGCCTAATTATAAGGATTTATGTATTCAGTTGCAATATCCTAGTTATAATTTTTAGTTTTTTTGGGACCTTGTTTATCTGCATTGTGCGAGTATGATTGTGATTGAGAATGGTAGGCCTCTATGACTATAGGAAAAACACGCATTATTGGTAGACAAACTCCGCCGAAAAATGCTCAAAATTCATCAAAAATTAGTATTTCTCAGAGATTTTCGTCAAATTTTTTTTCGGTAGTAAAATGCGAGTCGGAAAAAGTCACCAGCTCAAAAATAATCTGATGAAAATATTTTTGATAGAAAAAACATCAGAAATTTGTCCGGGTGATATAATCCGCCAGAGAAATTAAAAAATGAAAAAAAAAATATTGAGAAACACGCAACCACCCCCCCCCCAATTAATAATAAACTTTTTTAAATTTTTAAATTGATTTAATATAAAATAATTATTAATGAATATTTTAAAATTATGTTGGAAATCTGTCGAAAATTCCGTCGGAAAATTCGGCGAAAAATCTGTCGGAAATTCCACCAAAAAATCCATCAGTAATACGCCGAAAAATCCACCGAAAATATTCTTCATGAAATTCACTAGAAAAATCGACAAAAATTCTGACAAATTTTTTTCAGTCAGAAATCAGCATTTTTCCTGCAAGTGTATGCCAACAAGTTGTTTTTCTCCGGATCATTCCTGTGAACGAAACAACCGGTTGGTATGGTTATTTTCATTCAAGATGGGATGTGTTTTACTTCTTTAGTACTTTTAAGTTTTGTGTTTTCTGTAATTATGGTGCTGTTATTTTGTTTTATCAGTTTCTTTGCAACTCGTTTTGGTAGATTTGTGGAGGCTTTGCTCTTTCTTCTATAGGGTCCTCTTTTAGGTGAAAGACTAAGAAGAATGGTTTACTCTATTTATTTTCCTTTTAGGTGCTAGCTTCTAGCTGCCTTAAATTCTTATTAGGTTGCTATGTATTTTTGTGTAGTACGGATCTCCAGCTCATAGGCTATTTTTTGACGTTTTTGTAGCTTATTCGAGCAGTAGAGAGTTGGAGGTCATCTTAATGATGTTATATTATTTAAATATAAATGTGTAAGCCCATGGAAGGGTTTTAACAAAAATAAAAAGGGAAAAAAAGATAAAGCTATCCCAATTATTGTCATATAGAACTTATCCCTCAAAGGCCATTGACAAATGCCTTGAGGTTCCTAGACGATGATCCGTCCTCTGCAAGCGCCGCCCTTGCCTTCTCCTTCCACTCCTCAGCCTTCTTTCTTATCTCCCTTGCCCTGTCATTCTCCCCCATCACCACATCCAAACCACGTCTCAGCTCCACCGCATCCACGATCCCATCATCACCTGCCTCTGCCCTCACCGCGATCCCCCACACTGCCTCTGCCAACCTTGCATTTGTTGCCTGCTCGATCCACTGCGGCAGCATCACCATCGGCATGCCGCTCAAAACCGCCTCAGAAGTAGAATTCCACCCCCCATGCGACACGAAGCACCCCACCGCCTTGTGATCCAGCACTCTCACTTGTGAACACCACTCCACCACCTTTCCCTTCCCTTCTTTCAAAATCCTTTCCACCCCAACCTCTTCTGGTCTGCTATCCTTCCTCAACACCCACAAATACGGTCGTCCGCTCTCCTTCAGCCCCAGATCCAGCTCCTCGATTTGTCGTCCCGTCAGTCGTGTCAAGCTGCCAAAAGCCACGTACACCACTGACCTTTCCTCTTGTGCGTCCAACCACTCGATATAATCGCCCGAGTCCTCCTCGAATAGGTCTCTGCTACCTTCCGTTGCATACACGAATCTCTTGTCCACTACTGGCCCAATTGTGATTAATTCAAGCTCAGTGGTCTCATCTATCACCGAAGCTTCCAGTTGATAGAACGTGTTCACCAAAACTTTAGGCTTCTCATACTTTGCGAGTTCTATGAATATCTCATTGTAGGCGGAGAGGTAGGGATTTGGCACGGATATGGAAGAGGGTAGGTCCTTCATTCGTAGAGGTGGTAGCCCAGGTAGCTCAATGGAGTAAGATGAGTCTTTCTCTTCGGCTGTGACATAAGAGAAGCATTGGTGGCCTTTGAAGTAGTGGTAGTGGATGGCGAACACTGAGGCGGGTTGGATCCAATAGTGGACAGTAGGGATGCCAAGATCGCGCACAACGTCGGTGGCCCAAGTGACTAAGATGGTGTGCAACAAGCAAGTCACTGGGCGGCCCCTCACGGCGAGGTTGTGCACCATGGCGGCAAGTGTGCGAGAGCCATGCGACTTGAGACTTTCAAGGAAGAGGCCGCCGTCGACGGCGTCGAGGTGAATCCCATCATCAAAGCCGTCAGAGTACGGCGCGTAGGCGACAACTCCAGAGCCGTCGAGATTGAGAGGTGCCTCCTCCGCTGCATCATCCGGCTCGCCGGCGGCTGCGAGGGATCCGGGAAATAGCCGGCGGTGGGAGGAGAGAGGAGTGGCGAGGGTAACACGAGCTACAGCTATTCCGGCGAGGCGGCGAGCAAGGTGACGAGCGGGATTGATCTGACCTTGGGCGGCGATAGTCACCATTAGAAAATGATGTCCTTGGCCATGATGGCGGTAGTCAGCCATGACCGAAGTTTCTGAGTAACAGTCGATCGCCACCGAGGGATAATCAGGCACTGAGGGTGGGGGATAAGGATATGATAGCTGCGCTGCCCTTATAAAATGATCACAGCTGCGATCCACCTCCACTCGCTGTGACGTTTGCACTGACGATAAAGATTTGGAGATTGAAGAAAATCTGTTCTGATGCTCACCTAATATTTTCTCGGACAGAAAATTGCTGGCTAGGGTTTTTTTCGCCCCTGCCGACCTTCGTTCC